GTTTTTTTTTTTTTTTTTAAAGTTGATACATTCCCATAGTACTTGCATTAAAAGTCAGAGAATATGGTTTGAATCTCTAGCCAAAATTTTGCCTAGTAAAAATATGTACCGGTTAAAGTATTTCTGTTTTTGTTTTAAAATGTTTTTATTTATACTTTGTGTGGAAATGTAAATACTTCTGGCGGAGATGTTAAATGAGGTAAGTAGCTTGTATGCTTGCTGTGTGTCTCTAGAATACAGTCAAGTCTCCATACCTACAAACCGGTAGTGACAGATACTAACAGAATGTTGTCAAGCATTTATGAGATTATGAAGAGTTACTATTTATAACATAAGATATAAAACCAACAACAGTTTTTTGTATGCCTTTCTGAATTGTATTTCACCCTTTGACATTCTAATGACTGTACAATGCTTTGAACGCCAGATCTTGTTTTTGAAATATTGAACAATACTTTTTTTTCATAAAATGTCATGGTTTTCCATTTGCCATCTAAAAATTGGAAAATATTTTTAAATGTTTAATTTCACAAACAAATTCAACTCAGTGGCTTTTACTATGAAATCATTAATTTTCATGGGGATTTTTAGTACTAACGGATTGTTTGAGCAAGATTTAACTACAAAATCAATTTGCAACAAAAGTGTCTGCTTTTGGAAAACCCTGAAATTTGAGCCCCACCAAAATATATGATTTTACAGTATCAGATGTGGTTTTATATTATTGTAGAACATAAAAAAAGCCTACAAAATAAACTTACAATTCAGAGGAGATACAATCAATATTTAGCCTTAAATGCAATGTTATTTAAGTACTATTTATGTAAGAAGCTGCTCAAGAATGATGAGATAGGTGCTGGTTTGTGCGTGTATATATCTGTAATGTCAGGTTCTGTTTAGCTTCATCTCTGCCATGGACAACATTTTATTGTCGTTAATATTTTTTGGTCATTTTAATCGAATGTTCAAATAATTGATTTGTTGGACTTTTAAAAAATGAGATTATTGATGGTGTACTACAGGTGATTTCCATGACTCCTGCTTGAGCAATTGTCTTTAAAATATCAAAAACGTAATTGATGACATAGGGCAAAAACACTTTGCTGCTGCAAAAAAAAACAGTAATTCATTTCAGAAAAATTTCTGATTTTTCTGGCTTTTACAAATTATAAGTAGGAGTAATGAAAATCAGTTGTAATAATTGTAAGGTCGAGTTAGAGACCCTTTGGTTATAAATTATTTCAACAGACATTTGAAGATCCGATTCAAATTAAAAATGTGAAAAAGAATTCAGAATGCTTGTGTTAATGTGTGAAGAGCTGATATGATGTGCTCTTTGCGTGGCTTCTGTTTTTGTGAATTTTATGTATGTGTAGTGAGAAGCATTGTATCCAATGTAGATCGTTGACAATTTTTGTGTACAATGTAGACTGTTTTTATTTTATTTTTTTGTTTGTGTAAAATGCTCGATTAAAATACATTTTGATGTAAATGTACATGGATAAAGTGTCTTGTGAAACACTGTTCTGTTTTGTTGATAAATCAAGGTTCATACTTGTACACTCTGTTCAAATCTGCAGACCGTCATGCACAAGTTTTATCTGAAGCACGTCAGACATTGTTAATAAGGAACAAGACAACAATCCTATACAATTCTATACAGTATAAGGTAAAAGTAGTATTCAATATTATTATGGTCACCATCATGGTCAGTGTTGATGGTATGATTCGAACAGAGTGAACCGAGTCCTTGATAGATTTATCGCACACTTTAAAATGCACTGTTGTTGCTTGAGAAATGTGTCTTAAATGTCTGTACATTGTCAGACAACTCTGACTGTTAACATGAGTTAAAGCAGTATTGAAGTTTCTATTTGTATAATTTCACACAATATCATAACATGTCTGGTGTTTTCTGCGTGATGGTCACTGGAATGGGAAAAATTAAGACTGAAACCGTGTACGTAGATGGACCTTGTCAATTCTAACATACTGGACTGTCCATCCATTTACCATCGAGTACATGTATGATTGTGGATGATGGACACTACTAGTATACAATCACAGTTTTGTGTATAAAACTTGGTCCTATGTACAGATTAAAAGTCCCAGTAGTAGCCGTTCCTGATGTGATCGTCTTCCCGCAGAACCCCATCTTTGTTGTAATCATTGATCAGCGATTACACTGTCCATCACATCATTATCAAGATTTTTACAGAGAAATAAAGTTAATTATCCAATAAATCAGTGTTTGGTTGTAACTGATCCATGTATTCAGTTAAGTAGAGGTCTAATTATAAAACTAAACACTTTTTGCAGTAAAATGCTGGTAGTGTCGATTGGACCTTACTGATGAATTACACAGAAAAGCAGTGATGTTCGGAATGTATTTTATTTCATGAATTATTTGATTTGGTCATCACAGTGACTGTAAGCATAATATGTATGGGAAGAAGAAATGTATAGACTCCACATATATGTATAATACACTACAAATGGCACAACCACAGAGGTAATTGCCAATTAAAAGTCATGTACACTAGAGTAAAAGGAAAGTTGAAAAATTGAAAAAGAGCATTGCACAAATCCGTTAATAAAGTAATGTTACACAAGTATTTGTATCCGTTTTATCATCATCAATAAGAACTAATGAAAATGATCCAAAAACAATAAGATGTTACAGAAATAACAGCATGACGAACACATGTATACAACATTTATATACCCGGTAAGTCCCCTCCACTGACATGTTTAGCTTTGTAGTGTACCAACATCAGTCACCTGTTGTTTTATAATAATCCATTGCAGAATATAAGGGAAATAACTTCCACAATATACGCTTAAATAAATATATACAATTAATATATATGTACAATTCATAGCATTAAAATACAAATAATTATCATTATATACAATATAGTCATGAATTGCACAAAGTACTTAAGTATATGATGTTCTATGACAAAATGCCACAAGATTTAATTCAGTTTTGACAAAAGGTAGTTTTCATGCTAGCTTGTAGTATAATTTAAGAAGAGAAGCAATTAATACTTTTGTTATATGTATAAGCAAGCATCCTAAAGGTAGTGTTGTGATATATCATCCCCAACAGGCCCGTTTATCTGTTGGACCAGTTGAACCAGTGATGATTGTTCATGAAATTAGGGTAGACTTGCCTATATTTTGCTTTCTAAAACGCTGTGACTAAGCATTTTGAGGTCTGTATTAATATTTGCAGGTCCGTCATGCTTCATGAATCTTCCTTAACTTATGGAAATCTTCACTACCGAATAAAAGCATTATGTCACAAAAAAAGCATTACGTAAGTTAATGAAAAAACTTATATTTAAGAACATTTCCTTAACTGATGCCCTGCTTTCCTATGGGCAATTTAAAAATCAGGAAAATTCCTTAGGTTAAGAAAAATTGATGGAACAAGGGCCTGAATAAGTGTTACATTTAAAGTGCCAACTAACAGGTTCTGTGTACTAATGTCTGCTAGAACCCCTTGTAAGTAAGTGCTGAGGAGAGGTAACATACTGGAATCAGCTTGTTGAAAGACTGACAGAAGGAATGATTGAATGAGTGGTAATGGGCGAAACCATAGTTCCCTCTGGAAGGACTGGTTGAGGACTAGTGAAAATGGAGTTGAAAAAGGGACATAACTCTCAGAAAAAAAATCACAATACAACCACATGAAAATGTGTGCATATTCATTTCATCATTATTGTTTCTTCCAAAAGTTTCGTTCTTCCGTAACATAAATATCAGGAGTAAGGAAAGAAATTCTGGCTGAAAGCTCAAAGTCTGAAAAATGGTATAACTCCAGGATAATAAATGCAATGAATCAAAATTATCACGTAATCATATCTACAAAGTTTCAAAGTTAAGGAACTTTATAAGAATTTGCATTGACAAGAAACAGTGACTGTCAAACTGACTGACAAATGATGAAACTGTAGTCCCTTTCAGTAGGACTAGTAAGGCCAAATACAAGCCTAGAAAACATCCAAATTGGATACATGTGTAAAAGCAGGTTTCAAGAAAACAACCTAAAATGTTTATACATTAATGACTAAAGTGTAACAATTACAGTACTTCAGTAAACATGTGGAGTCTCTGTGATCTTAGCCCAGTCATTGTTCATGGCGTTCCAATAAATAGTTGTATCTATAGTACTAAGACAAGAATGTATCGATGAACAGAAGATATTTGGTTCTCACAGTTCAAATTAGGTGTTGAATATCAATGAAAAAAGAAATTAGTTTCCACAGTTCAGGTCATGTATTGAATATAAAAAAAAAAAAAATTTTGATCTATGAGTTGACATCCATGAAAATTTGAATTACTTCTACAGTTCAAGTCATTTATAAATAGTGACATTGATTCAACAAAGTCAATGGACAGGATAATTAGTTTTAGAGTTGGCATGTTATGTCAAGTTCACCAGAAACAGACGAGATGGTAATGTATCTGTTTCTTCATTAAGAGAGCCCATGAAACTGAACTAGCTAGGACAGCACACAAACTAATAATATTGCACCTGTTTGGAAGACAGTGATACACAAGAAATGTTTGGTTTCGAAACCAAGATTAATAGTGGCAAAGCCAAGTCAACTACTTAATTGGACATAAAAAAGATTTCAGTGACATAACACATCGCTATAAAACAAAGATGGTGTATACTTATACAAAATGTCTGAATGACTTGGAAAACATGTAACAAAATAAGAACATATTGAACAACATTTTACATGGCAGTATACCAAAACAAACTGCAAGACAAATCGTAAAATCTCGCTTCAAAACATGAATATACTACAGAATGGGACTAACAGCTACAGGGCTCAGTCATGATTCAAGAGGTGAATCTGAATGAGTGGATTCTAGGTTGTTGTGGTAATTGTGACATGTACAATCATCGAAAATGATGTTATGAATTTATCCATGCATTTACATAGAATTTCAAAATGACATTCAATTTATAAATGTTGATATTTTTTAATACATGTATATTCTATTAACATTTCTAAGTTTAAATAAAGGATTTAACAAAGAAAAGTATCATTAACAATCTTGTAGATAAAAGATGAAATGGATTGTGAAAATCCATTACAGAAAGACACATTAATAGAAACCCTGGTTTCCCTTTTCTTAAACTTTTAGTTCCCATAGCAACCACATAGCAACATGGCAACAATATCCCACACCATGACCACCTTTTGTCACAGACCCATTCATTGGAAAAGAAAGTCTTTCATCGGCTTGTCCAAGGATATCCTGTCTCACACACCCACATTCACAGTGTTTCACTAATCAATGTCCATGAAAAACGCAAAGGAAAATTGTGGAAGCACCCATTACATTCACTTGGGACAACAAGGGTTGTCAACCATTAAAACAACGTCAATGCCATAGTGTTCAACAAGTTCCATGAGGAAGGAGCGATCTCCATATGGGTCAAGGCCCATGCTTTTCATGTGCTCTGATGTGAGTTGACGGTCCTGTGACATTGACACGTCTAAAAGAGTCTGGAATAGTCGGTTGTTTAATTCTGTGAAAAACCTGAAATGGAATGAAATGTATAGACTGCAGAAAGGCAACATAAAACTTGACTCTGTGAAGTTATTGGTACTTGTAATATAACATCAGGTAATAATGTCACGTTTCTATTGTTTTATTCCAGTCATTGATGTAGGAACTCTGAGTATTGAGGGCTGTGTTACAAGCAATTCAAGTGTTGAGTACTTGGAGGGCATTGTTAAAGTGAAGAACTGCTCAGAAAAGCTACCACAGCTACACTACTCATAACAGGAGCAATTATTTTACCAATGCAGCTTTCAGAGCACTGATCTACTGACTTCAGCATGGCAGGATCTCCATATTTTAAAACATCAGTCCTTCACTTAAACCTATGAGGTATGAATGTAGTTTAAGTTTTCTATAGCCCAAAGTCTTTAATGACTAACCTGATTAGTGATCAGGTATAAAATCAATGACCTGATATTAATTAATATCACATTTATCAATACTTATGAGATAGCAGATAGTGTTATTGTTACATTGTGGATAGTTTGTCAATAAAAAAATCCATAAAACTAAACGTGTCTGCAGATTTTCTTGACCCCCACGCCAGACATGTCTGTTACAATGTCTTGTGTTTGAACTTAAAGGAGTTTTGGCTATGTTTATGTCCGGATAAAAAACCAGCAAAAGTTATTTTCAACATTGAGCAGTAAAACACTTAAGTTTAATTGGTTAAATTAAAAAACTAACATAATCATTTATCCTGGCAAAAGAATAGTGAGTCACCACATTATTTTTACTCAAGATTGGTGGGAGGGGGCCTTATTACAGGGCAATGGTACAGCCTTGGGTTTTCAGCTTATTGAGCAGCAATATACATGGGCGGACTTATCACTTATTGTCAAATAAGTATAGTGATGTACTAACTCTATCAACTTACATGGTAAAGAGTTCTTCTTCATTGCAGGCTTCCTCTCCGAGCTCTTCATAGGAGAATTGGTGGGCAGACCTAAATCAGAGGTCAACAAACAAAAACATATGTATAACATATTAGATATCTGTGGGATCAATGGTTAGAAATTAAGTATTTAAGATTCTAGAAATTGTGAAATTTTAAAGTTGTTGAGCATTAACTAGAAGTAGTGTGTTGATGAAAACAAATAAATCATCATTACATGTCCATACCCCCTACCTTTATGGAAGTTACAGAATTCTATCCAATGGTTTTGTTTGGCTTTCTTAATTGTTCTGTTAAAATTGGTTTTTGGGGCTATTCTATAAGATTTCTGAGGGTTCTTTCTTGCATTCTCTCTCCTATTTATGTTTGATGTGTTTTGCTATGGTGCAAGCCTCATTCCACTTGGGGTTGTGTTTTCTGTTTCATGCCTAAGGTTTTTGGGATGCACTTGGATATAGTTTTGACAAGTATTTGTGTGGAGATTTCTGTGGATGCAGCTTTGACAAGTATTTGTGTGGAGATTTCTGTGGATGCAGCTTTGACAAGTATTTGTGTGGAGATTTCTGTGGATGCAGCTTTGACAAGTATTTGTGTGGAGATTTCTGTGGATGCAGCTTTGACAAGTATTTGTGTGGAGATTTCTGTGGATGCAGCTTTGACAAGTATTTGTGTGGAGATTTCTGTGGATGCAGCTTTGACAAGTATTTGTGTGGAGATTTCTGTGGATGCAGCTTTGACAAGTATTTGTGTGGAGATTTCTGTGGATGCAGCTTTGACAAGTATTTGTGTGAAGATTTCTGTGGATGCAGCTTTGACAAGTATTTGTGTGGAGATTTCTGTGGATGCAGCTTTGACAAGTATTTGTGTGGAGATTTCTGTGGATGCAGCTTTGACAAGTATTTGTGTGGAGATTTCTGTGGATGCAGCTTTGACAAGTATTTGTGTGGAGATTTCTGTGGATGCAGCTTTGACAAGTATTTGTGTGGAGATTTCTGTGGATGCAGCTTTGACAAGTATTTGTGTGGAGATTTCTGTGGATGCAGCTTTGACAAGTATTTGTGTGGAGATTTCTGTGGATGCAGCTTTGACAAGTATTTGTGTGGAGATTTCTGTGGATGCAGCTTTGACAAGTATTTGTGTGGAGATTTCTGTGGATGCAGCTTTGACAAGTATTTGTGTGGAGATTTCTGTGGATGCAGCTTTGACAAGTATTTGTGTGGAGATTTCTGTGGATGCAGCTTTGACAAGTATTTGTGTGGAGATTTCTGTGGATGCAGCTTTGACAAGTATTTGTGTGGAGATTTCTGTGGATGCAGCTTTGACAAGTATTTGTGTGAAGATTTCTGTGTACTTTTCTATATCTGTGTCTTGTATGTTGTTTATTGAGCTATTGTTACAAAGCCATTTGAATTTATCTGATTTATCTTTTAAACAAAACATATTTTGGTACATGGTATAAAAAAATATAAGGGCCACAACTCCGTTTCAAAATGTCATACTCTGTCATAAACTTACCTTTGATTGTTCAGCTTGGCATACTTGTCACGGTCAGCTTCACTGACCTTCAGCATGTCCTTGAGGATAGGGGAATGTGTCTTTATAATCTGGTTGTCTATATAGACGTCATATAGACACGTTTTCATCTCAAAGATCTTTTCTGTTGTACCTGTATATAAATAAAATCACATACACATGTAGGCAGTAAGGTGAGATTCCTACAGTATCATCAACATTATTTATTTACAAGTACACTTTTAACTACTGGCTTTGATATTATTTTTACTGATTAAATTTTACTTTCCTTTCTACAATTCCCCCCCCAAACCACCCCCTCTCAGAATTTAAACAGAATAGTGCAGTGATAAACACACAGCATATGCTATACAAAATGATATACAGAAAATGCAGTTAACACAATCATAATGTAACAAAATATGTGCAATGTGGATGCTAAAATAGAATTGCTGCTAAAATAACTTTACTGCTGATACATGTACATTTATAGTAACTTGTGAGAGATAAAAACTAACTAGAAAATGTTCACATGTAAACAGGTTATAATCAATTCAGAAACAATCTGATCTGATTTTTCCAAATCATAATGACACTTACAAGCTATATATGCTACTTCAGATTCCAATGTTTCTATATCTGCAATGTTGACATAGAAATGAGGCTTCATGTCATGTCCCAGGCCGGGGATATCACGGTTAGCTAGACAACATGCACAATACACTGAAAATATAAAGTTCAAAGGTCTTCAGTTTTACAGATGACAAAAATATTACCATAGGGCTTACTCATACTCATAGTCAAAGGAGGGCTTATTAAAATAGGCGGGCTTATTACCAGGCATGGGTTTAATGCCAGATATATAAGAGGTTTGTACAAATGTAGCTAAGAAAAGATAACTTGTTATTATAGTGTATAAAGATACTGTAATCTGTGCCAAAATAAATTCACCATAACAAAAGATATTGTTCAGAGCTTTCAATGAATTCTTTAAACATTAAAGCTGAATATTAGATCACTGACATCCAGCTATATCTTGTTGGGAAGTAGGGATGGGGGTGAGAGAGAGAGAGAGAGAGAGGGGGGGGTGTTGATGTTGTGCAAACAGTGTTTTAATACCCAAGTCTGTCCATCCCATCCCTGTCTTATCTCATCCTGTCCCACCCTATTCTGAAACAATGTCATACCCTGAGAACCTCTCAACGGATTTAATTTCTACAAACCGGTAATTACCCAATAGTGTCATAACATCATATTCATGATATGACAATGACAATATGATAATATTGTCATTGCTCTAGGTTAAAAGGTCAAAGGTCATTTGCGTAATAACACCCATAGTATAATAATAGCTGAAATCTAAGAATATTGCAATGTCAATTTTTATACCAGTGTAATCAAATACAATTTTGAATAATGTTTGCAAAATTATCAAGATTATGTGACAATCAAAACTTATTCATTAGTTCCGTTTCACATGAGATAGAAATGTTTGTAAGATGCTCTATATCTCCTAAAAAGCAAAAATTTGTTTATACACCAATTTTTCATTTGGAAAATGATTCCTCTGCACATTTCATATTATTCAGATGTGATACAAACCCTATACTCACCCCTATAACACACAACTCCAATAGGAGGAGGAGAAAAAAACAGCAGCCTTCGTTGTAGTAGAGCAAACTTCCATAGCACAAATATACTCTCACCAAAAAATTTTATAAATTGTGAAAAGCAACCAGCCGGGTGCGTTATCTGAAAGAAAAGAAGAAAGATCAGTCTTCATCACAACATCTTTTAATTTGGTGATATCTGTACCAGTGATGTGGATAAGGAGTGATTGTAATCAAGTACGATTACCACACAATAAGCCCAGGGACATTAAATTACTTCTGGTATAAATTCAAGTGAAGGGTAGTTGATGGATTAGTATGACGTGAACAGCCAGTGTCATTTTGAGGTGAGGTCTCTTTGTAGTAGCTTGTGGCTACCTCAATGAACAAATTACGAGAGGTCCATCACATGTCCTTCAGAGCAATTAGGGTATTTTTTATTGCGGCCTTCGCAGTTAATGGGCTTACTACCAGATCATAAAACATCATAGATAAGTAATTTTACAAAACATCGAATATGGGTGGGGTTATTTCAAGTTATTGGCAGAAAAATTATGGATGTTTTAGTTCTTACAAATGAACATGCCAATCTATTTACATTTCTACATCAGTACTACTATATAGACAAGGCAGAAAGATGTGTAATTTATGAAAAGATAAATGCTTTCCAAGGTGTAATAGTTATGATGTCAGTATTGCGGACAAGTAATTCACAGTCATGATTGAGTACAGAAATATTTTCCCCCATTATAGCTCCAGGACATACACTGACCTTCATTTCTGGGAGATCTCTACTGGGTGTGGAGGGGGAGGAGTTAGAGGACGACATTCCACTGATCGCACTGTCACTTGTTAGGGTTCCCTTTTTATCCTGGTAAAACGCATGCAGCTGTGAGTAGTTACCTGGTGTCTCTAGTTGGTGCCTGTTTAAAATATGAAAATATTGATAACTTCAGGTAAATACTGCAAAATACGTTGTTTTTTTTTTTAAAATAAGGATCAGAAATATCGGCTAAATCATAGAATGAAATGTCATAGATGGTTGAAGAAAAACATAGATACATACTTAAACCTGCTTTTAGGGGCACCTGTAGCTGTAAGTGTGCATGCTTTAACAAAAGCTTATTGGTTTCCTAATTTCACAAACAAAACCTTGTATATTAGGGTCACTGGTTCGGGTTCCAGTGTTTTTCAATTCACAACACCTGCAACTGTACACAATGGCCTTCTGCCTATAAATACAACTTTTCTATGCTCCGTTCAGTATCCTTTACAGACAAGTTTGGAAGTAAATATCATTGTGATATCATAATTACATATAAAATCTAGAGAATTTTGGAAACAAATACAAAATCATTATTACCATATTCATCATGAGGCAAATACGAAAATTCCTGCTCAAACAGTGATGGATATGGGTGGGTGGGCTTCTCACCAGACAGACAGGGCTTATAACTCAATAAATATTGAAATTTTCTATACCGTATTTATCTGGTGATAGGCCCATGCCTGGCAATAAACCCACCAGTATCTTTCTTCACTTCGACATACATAACAACAATAGGAATTAAATAGTCCTATAATAAGCCAAGTCCCCTTTTTAAGGAGTCAATGTAATGTCTGGGTTTATTGCAGGAAAAACATTACAATACGTACCTAACTTGTGTTTCTAAGAATTGCATGTGTCTATACAGTAGTGTGTAAGATGTTGACAGAATGCCCACAGATTTCATCCTGGCTCCCCGCTCTATCTCGCTTTCCACTGGCATGTTTTCAAAACAGGCCAAACCATAAAGATTTTCCATTCGGAAATACCTGTAATATTCTAAACTTATTACATGAATTTACCACAAGCTGAGACTTGAGGACTATCATATATCTTTTATCCTATTCAATTTAGGCTTGAATTCATTGGTAGAAAAATAGGATTTTTGAATTATTAACTGGCTAAAAATTGCTGTTTTCAATGAATATTATTTAAAAAACTATTGCAATTTGTTTAAATGTACATATGTAAATTTTGAGGTAACATCTTAGTTAAGTGCTACGAAGATCTACTGACACAAAATCCTTTGTCATGGTATGTGATCCGCTGACCATGGCCTTGAACTCCACTCCATCAAGGTCAAAATCCTCTGGCATGCACCATTCAATCATGTTTCCTGAAACACATACAAGATTTGAATTAAAAGGTATATGCTACATGCACTACTATTAGGAATTAGATATAAGGATATACCAAGGGTGTTTCCTCTAAATTTAAAAAGCATCACTTGGAGTATTCTTACTACAACTAAGCTTGTGAGATATTATACATTAGAAATAACATTGAATTACAATGAGTGTTTTTCCTAATTAATCATATTCAAATGAGGTGATTTGGAGGTTTGCGGTTACTCTGTACCATTCTGTAACACAAGTATCCTGGACCAAGGATTACGCCATGCATAATTTTATTCCATGACAACTATACAGATCAAAGAACATCTAAAATGGACTATGGTTGCCAATCTAGCTACTTTGAACATCAGAAGATAAAAGTCATTCACACATATTGTTGGTATACACAGACAATATGCCGTATAAAGTGTCAGGTAGCTGTAATAATTTATTTGTTGCATTTATTACCCCATGAACAGTCATTTTATTTGAAATCTCCCTGAAGTAGCTGGTGGCTACCTCAATGAACAAGATATGGGAGATCTGCTGCATGTCATCCAGAGAAATTAGGGTGAAGTGCCTTGCCCATAGACACAACATGTTAGTACAGACCGGTCCGTTTCTCAGCTTCCTGAGAAACAAAAACCGCCACAGGTAGAGAACGTTGAATTATGGACCTCTGATTTTCACATGAGGTTACGTAGGCTTACACTCTAACCAAATCAGCTATCATACCCCTACTAGCTATAACAAAGGATTGCAAAATTTCACAAACATAACACCTGGAACTAGCCATTTTTATGTCAAGTCCAGTGAGACTTTTCAATAAAAACTATTAATACAATTTTGGCTAACTTGCAAAATTTTTCCAAGAATAAAAGAAAAATATAAACTCAAAACTTGAAAGCGGTTCAGTCAGCGACAAAATTTGAAGTGAATACACAATGTTAAAAATATTTTGATATCAACTCTTTTTATTCAAACACAGCACCAGCAAATATTCACAAATGCAGTTTAAGCCTCAGATGTCTTTATTTTAATATTCCTTTGGACATTGTTTTCAGTCCTCACCCATTTCAAGGGGTTTCCAAGACTTTCATCTTACTATCTTTCCACCGTTCCAAAACTTAAAAACTACAACAGCCCCCTAGGGAATAACTTATACTCCCAAAAGTCAGGCCACTGGATTTCACTGTAGGGGTTATGGAACTTAGTTAATATATGTCGGGCTATAAAAATGAGTAAAGATATAAAAAGCATTGCAGGGCATAACTCAGGTAAGAATTGAAATTTGACCTTGAGCTCAGACCCTGTGACCTTCTTTTCTTAATATGGACCAACTTGGCTTCATAGTGCTATAACATAATATGCATGAATGAAAGGATATTGTTTCACTTTGTGCTATCTAATGTCATCACACAAGGGCCATAACTCTAATAAAAATTGGCGGAAGCCAATGGTATTCCAGGAGACACAAGAATATGTCATTCATAACATGTGTGCTAAGTTTCATCAAAATCCATTGATACAGTTGGGAGGAATGGAACAATTTGTGCTATCAACAATCATCATGCGACAAGGGCCATAACTCTGATAAGAATTGGCAGAACTGAATGGTGTTTAAGGAGACTCAAGAACACATCATGTGTAAATGTTTGCCAGGTTTTGTCAAAATCAATGCAAAATCTTTGGAGAAGTAAACGGTACATAATTGTGTCCAACGGAGAAGCTGATTCCAGTATACCCCCACCACCCCACTCCCTCCCTATTCCTCATTTCTTTGCTGGGTTACATCAAACCCAATGTGGGTGGACAGACGGTGCTACAGATAATACACTCAAGTTTTTACCACATGTACAGCAACTTAGTCATGAATTCTCGAGTGGATGCTGAAAGGATTGGAGTCCCCTCTTTCGTACTATTTATATCCTGCAAAAAGCCTTCGAAGGCAAACATATCACTTTTTACTCAAAGTCAGGTGGGTGGGCTTATTACAGGACATAAGAATAGCAATAGTTTCAATACTTAATTCTGAACAGTCTTAAGATATTATGCGTGGGATTATTGCCAGGAATTTTAATTGATAAAGTTTCTATTTTCAAAACATATCTTAATATGCATTTCATTTTGGACATTAGAAAGTGTACCAACGCCAAAATGGTTCTCTAATCTAGTCTCCAGGACATCTATCTATCCCTTATTTTTTCTTTCTTTTTTGCCATGGTTGATCAACTATAACAAAGAAACAAATTGTGGTGATGGAGAACAACAAAGAAAAATATAAAATCCTGAAAAGATGATCAGAACCCTTTGAACAAGAAATCTCGACAAATGATTCATCAAAAAAAAAACAAGTCATGGATTTCTAATCAACTCTGTTACTATTCAATTCCACAAGTAACTTTAACAGTTTGATTTCGTTATCAGAATACACTGGATCAATAACAGCAGGTGTTGATGTAACATGTGTTATAGATCAAAACTGGTTTAAACTTGAAACATATCATCTGAATAAGGATCAATATCAACTCATATAACTGGCTGGTATCAAATATTAAATCCAGGTACAATTTCTTTATCAACCTCTAAAAACAGGTGTGACGACGAACCAGCTGTCAAGTGATGATATAAGGTGATTATGGTGATTTTGGGAGGAAGGGAGAGAAGTGATTTGGGATAAACACCTCAGATCGTTAAAGGGATGGACTTATCACAGGACAATGTAACATTTTTTGTTTATAATTTTTTTAAACAGTGATAGATATATTATAAATAAGCACATTACCACTGAACCCCTCCCCCCCCCCCCCCAACCCCTCACTACCTACCATCCCCCTATCACTGGTAATAAAATGTTCTAGTGCTATGAACTCCTATCTGACAGTTGAATAACCAAAGCAAACCTTTGATAAGAACATCTAGATCTTTTGGGTCACCTCCCCAACTATTCAAGAAGGAAAAGGTACGAGGTCATGTGCTCGTGCAGTCCACATATTTTCTCTCTGTACTCTGGTTTCTTCTAACAGTATCAATGCAAAACTCCTTGCAAGCTTTAATTTGTACCAACAAGAGTGATTAGTATAAACAGATAACTTGTTTCGAAACTGTGATAAAACATATAAATAAAATTTACAGTTAAAAGTAAAATTGCTGCCATGAAACTAGGAGCAGATTTAACGATTGACGACACTGTCCCTAACTTTTTTAAGGAGGTTTAGCATTTCTCACATTCCTAAAACAAAGAAAGAAACATAAACTTTATTTACTTGATATAAACATCATCTTATTTACGAAACTAAGGCTATAAGGTGATATGCAAACTTATATAAATCACTCTTGTTGACCTGGATGGAAGAATGCGAGGGGTCTCCCTGAGTAACCCACTTGGTCGTGCAGGTGACCCCATACTTTTTCACATCCAATTTGCATATCAAACTCTGCTGCCAAAATGAAAGGCATAGCATAACCCGACCACCCTAATTCACGTGTTACTACCCGGGTATATCCCCAGACTTCAAGCTTATGTATTATTCAACTGAAATATTTAGCTTAAAGAGAAACTCTCAAAAGCCATTTTACCAGGAAATGGTAGTGAACAGTCAGGCTAGTATATCCAGCTTGTTTTTTTACTGATTATGTTGAAGACTTAAGCCGAAGTCAAACTTTTGTTACCGCCTATATATATCATGGTAATCATCTACGTATTCATATTGGTCAATTGGTCACTGTTGGACGTTGGTCAGTTGGTAGGTTTACAACAAAAGATATTCAGCATAGTTTAAATTGAACCAGCTGATGCCATGAATAAATAATGGTTACACGTTTACATGTTCCGCAAACCATTCTGAAGTGAACAGTACTGGATGTTTAAGGCATGTTAGGGTAGTATACCTGATCGCGTATCAAACGTCACAACAAAAACACAAACGATGTGATCCGTTTCGCTCAGTGGCAGAGGCAATATGAAGTCGTCCGCAGGGTCACCAAGTCCGGGAAACTGTGAAGGAAGGCGGTAGTTAGTTTTTCTATTCCGAGGTCCATCATAATCGTCCTCTTCCGAGAACTTCAGCAGCGGAGCTCTCTCGTCCGCCGCCATGATAAAATTTATTATCGATTCGACGTTTCACTTCGAAGTTAAAATTAGTTAGAGTTATCTCCCTTCCACCACTGAGTAAATGGCCCACAAGGCCTGATTTTCTCTGAGCTTTTAGACTTTTGGTAACTATTTTACAACTGCAGGCTCTGCACGGGCTTTCGACCATGTTTACTTTTCTGATCACAAGGAATTCACTTTTAATGTTTCGACGTTCATGTTCATATAGTTATTCATGTTTGGGAGTTCCTTTTCCCTACGTTTTCCTTAAAAATGTAATTGGTATATCGCACCTTCTTAATCGGTACATATCGACAATGATATTAGCTTAGTGATAGCTACTATTACGATGCAACGGTTAATGAAACGCGTTTGAGGTTATACAGGGTCACACGGCTGTTTTGATGACTGGTCAAGAGCGAAATGACACAAGGAAGAAAATTGATTGCTTTTTTAAAAATTATTATTATCATTTTTTGTGTGTGTCGCGGAGGGGGTTTAAGTAGCCTCACAATATGATCACATTAGTCACCTCTCAAGATCACAGTGGTCGCTTTCGATCACATTAGTCACCTCTCAAGATCACAGTGGTCGCTTTCGATCACATAAGTTACGTGTCGAGGTCACTATAGCCTCTTATGATCACACATAAGTCGCCGACCAAAGACACAGTGACTTTTCATGTTTATATTAATCGCCACTCACTTGTATTTAATGGGGTACGCCAGGTCTTTTCGATCCTATGAAAGTCCGCAATGTGTTTTATTTAATTCAAATATTTTTCGCATCACCCTGGATTGTATCTTAATTTTTGACAGATGTATAGCATAAGGAACAAGACGGCGATGATCAGTCATTAAAACTCTACATTATCAACTAAATATGAAGTTAATTTATATTTTACAGATATGATTTGGGTTCGCCTTTCATAGCTCCTCGTAATGGACACTGGAAGTCATATACAATAAACCATAAGTGATGTAGGAACTAATTTAAAACTAATTTCACATGGTCTTAATGTAAGTATACTACGAGAAACGTTTTGAGTAATTACAGACAGATTGTTGTGAAGGCTGAAACCCGGCATATCGGGAAGCGGAGTTAGAAGGGTCTCGACTGGCAGAGGTGTCGAGAGAGGGGAATGAGGAAGAGGGGGCAGACAGGATTACGGGGAAGAAGGGGAGGCAAGATTACGTATCACGAGCTTATTTAAATACTAGAGCTTAAGTTATATTGTTCATTTGAATTTGACAAAATGACTTAAACTTCTTCCTTAAGAGGAAGTATTAGATTCGAAAAAACAAGAGGCAATATGGGGGAGGGGTGTTGTGTATGTAGGGGGGGGGGGAGGAGGCAGGTGGAGAGGTGTCGGGATATGGTATGTGTATCTGTGTGCAGATCGATAGATAAACCACCAAAGAATAAAAATAAAATAGTTACCCAATTCACCATACAGTATATAATAATCTTCATATCTATGTATGCCTGGTTCTATCACTGTTGACATGTTATTATATATACATATCTATGATAATTATTAATTACACAATATTGGAAAAGTCTAAACATCTGACAAAACTGTAATTTATTGATATATGTGTTTCATTTTTATAAACATATTGCTAAAAAAATATACGTATAATAAAGAATGGAAACACTGAAGATTTTGATGACGGTATAAGGTGTTAACGAAAACGAAATCAAGGATTTTTTTCATAGATTTTATTCCATTCTGTAAAAATTGTGAAACAAATCTCATGACAAAGATACACTTTTTGTATGGAAAACTATTACCTGATGTACATACAGATACTAAACAGTTACATAAGATTTCTAAGTTAATTTTATCATATCAGAACTTTTGAATTATCATTCTGTTCTTAGTAAAGATATTGTCTGAGCTCTCGCTATAGGTACCTATTATTAACATCAAAACTTGTCGTTAAGAATTTATTCAAGTCGTAGAAAGACGCCAGATTTATCAAGCATTAGTGATATTGCACTCGGGTTAAGTCTAAGGTGTGTGGTTCGAGGCTTTCTTACCCGTAGAGATTGGTGTTTCTCAGTAACGTCCATAGACAACACTCTTTAGTCTAATTTCTCTGAACGGGATCCGTCCTTTACCCTGAAAAGTAACCACTGACTATTACAATAGGGCACCGCCTCAAAATGACTTTGGATGTTCACGGGAGCAAACAAACAAACAATTCTAATACATCAGTAATGACACACTCTTTAATTCACTCTCATACTCATATTCATTTTTCGAGCGTTTAATTTTGGTAAATTTTTGTACATGTTACATATGCGCATCACCATTATTGTAGATTTACAAAATGTCATGCCCACTCACATTGCAGTATGTAATATGTAACTGACCATTTTTAGATAAGAGACACCATGGTACACCATTTTCATTTCGATCACCATGAATTTTTTCGAAAACCCACCAGAACCTTCAACACACCCTTCACTGTGTGAAATATACATCAGGGATTAAATATGGCACGTGTCGAACTCTCACAAGACAGTGGCTTTGGTCCCTTAATGGGACCCAAATTGGAAGCGATATATTAATGGATAAAAAAACCAGGGTGCTATCAAACATTTCGGAAATGCTGAGGGTCGGAACCCAAACAGGTTTCAACGGCACTAGTAGGCTCGACATATGGTAACACCTGGACCGACAACGGACCATAAGATCCGACTACATGCTGATATCAAGTTTTTAAGTTCTTGAAAGTAATTTTATAAACATATGTCAACGGCTAATGGAGTGTTATGTAGGTCAGTATACATATAAACATGTTGCAATGTTTAGGAGAAGGACTGTAGTGTAAATGGAGGGATGCCTGGTTTAAATGGCAAAACCGGAAGTGAAAATTAGGAAGGTACAGAAGTAGAAACGGAGTAAAACAATGGCAGTGAAAATTTAGACAAAGCAACGGCACCAATATCAGTCCTATTTTCTTTGATGATGTCTTCTTATTTTCGTATTTTCTCAGTTTCCTATTATTAGGCGTTATATGACGCTTTAGTGATAAGATTAAATTTATTTTTAAAACTTCAACCGCTGTATCTGTTAACAACTTGCAGCATGTGATTAATATAAATATGAGGCAGCAAGTCAGTTGTCTAAAATTACGAGTCAAGCAAACTTTTTGCAAAACTTCTTTTTAATATCACAGAAGGAATGGTATGTTGTTACGGTGCATTAAAGTCATGGAGTTGCTTTGTGTTCTGTGAATATATCTAGAATGAGAAACCAACATTTGAGATTAAAACAGAAAACCGTCAGCATCGTTGTTGGAGTCGAGGACATGCTATCTACAGTTGTCTTACAAATCATATAATTCCCGGTCATGCGCATCCGTATCCCAGCATGACAGCTGCTGAAACTGGCCCTATATCACCCCAAGATTACGTAAGTTAATTATGACGAACAACACGACGTCCTTAGCTCGAGACAAGCACGTGCCGTCTGATTGACGACTGCAGTGAAATACGGGGGACGAACATTGAAGGCCGTAAAGAAATAGCACGTGGCACGCACTATAAATCAATATTATCTACTTTTCAATTTTGCCTCAGCTTCATGCTTTAAAAGTGTAATTTCTAAACAAAGCGAGAGTAACATTGAAGACGTTTTGAGTAAATATTACGTGATTAATATTATATAAATTACGCTAATCGGACCATGATCGGATTGGCAGTCAGAACAACTGTTAACTTCAAGGATTTAATTATATTTGATTCGAATATGAAACCATGAAAGTACAAAAGTAAATATTTACATCTGCTTTGAACCATAAACCATTTTCCAGTTGACGCATACATGTATGTCAATTTGTGTTGTGAAACTATTACGTCTTTACGTCACGTGACCACTTTTATGACGTCATTTTTTTCAAAACACAAACCGCTTTTTTCCGACAACATCGCGAATTGACACGTGGAAAATATAATACTGCAAAATCATTAATTTTCGTGGATGTTTTACTTTCGTCGATTTCGTGGGATTGTTAAATTCAAGAATTCCTATCAAACAGATAAAGATTGACATAAATTTTATTGGATTCTGTAAGACTTATCCATGAAATCAAAAGCCACAAAAATTAACATCTTGTAGAACCAAACAATCTAGCCCCACGAGAATACGTAATGTAACAGTTAACCAATAAACCGAAATACACGTATCAGCAATGAATGATTTCGCATAGCATATATTACTATTTCTGAGAAGTTGTTGAAGTCCCTACATCATAAAGTACCGTACATGTAGCGCCATTTGTTGTGACATTGGTGTTACCATGCTTGTTGTTGTTGGTGATTTAAAACTTTTTTCTGTTAAGACTGGCACAAGTGGTCTTAACAAAAATATTTTAAAGTGATTTGATACTGGAAATGATGCAATTATCGAGGGGTTTACATTTTCGCTATTTTCAAGGATAGAAAAAAAAATCAATAAACAAATAAAATAGATTAATAATCTGTCCAAGAAATCGATTGTCTTTTTAACGACATCTGTGAAGAAAACGTGATTTATTTTCTTTAACTTTGAATATTTGAACATTTACAAAAATGCAATCCCCCCACACCCCCCACACCCCTCTCTCAAAAAATAAAAAAAAAAAAAAAGAACTTGATAATATGCAGTTAGGCTGAAATTGTGGCATGCATTTTTTATGTACAGGTCACTTCGTCCTTGAAATTGAAAGAAATCTTGCATATGAATAGAAGGCTGGCTTCTACACAGATCTCACAGTTTTAAATTAGAAATAAAAGTACCAGCGGATCCGATAACGAATATGTTTAGTAAAAATATATGTTTTGGTGTTTTTTTATTTTATAATTGATCGAAAACAATGATGTCCAGCTAAGATTTGCTGTGGACACAGCTTGCTTCAGTTTGACACTAATTGTTGTATGGGATGTTAAACTTGCTCAGCAGAATGTAAATATTACGTCACATTGAGCATATAGTTTCTAATTAAGTCATTTAGAAATT